GAGAAGATCACCAGGACTCCACTGCCCTCTCTGCAGAGCATCTACCACTGCAGAGCCCGCAGGAAAGCTGCCTCCATCCTCAAAGACTCCACCCACCCCCAGCATGGACTTTTCACACCTCTACCCTCAGACCGGAGGTTCAGAAGTATGAAATTCAGGACCTCTAGACTGAAAAACTCTTTTTTTCCAACTGCCATCAGACTCAAATAGCTGACAGGAGTTCACAAACAGGAATTACTTCATGTAATTCCACCTGTACTGTTTACATGCTCAGTTGCACATGCATAATTACACACCCGCTACTGACTATTGGCACATACAGCTCCGATGCAGCATACATTATCTCTTATTGTGTGCTTGTTATATTTTTATTATATTTCTTTTCACTTGCTGTTTGAAGTACCATTAGTTTTTGTGCTACTATTTATCTACCTTATATTTCACTTGTGTTGTTTGGCATTCAGTGAGGATGGCAAAGTAATAATTGCATTGTACAGGGAAACACGTTTCCTTACTGTGCATATGTGCCCTTTGAACCTTGAACATGTTGTAAGTCCATTTGTTTAATAGGTAGCAGGACAGAGATCTATTTAAAACTGGGTTCTGTTCTGTAATTTTAATGTGGAATAATTCTTATGGTTGTCTTCCTTTTTTCTTTCTTCAAAGTGTTTTGTATTAGAGTTTGGATTTCACTACCTAAATTTGGTGTTTATTACATACACTTTGCACTCAGAGTGAGAGAAAACGGGGTAAACAGTGGCCTTCAGTTTATTTTTGTTTTGAGTCCTGTCAAACCTAGCATAGAAGTTATTAAGGCTGTCCAGGAGGGTGACTTCATGGGAGACTGTGATTGTTGATTTATTCCTGTAGTTTGTGACTGCCTGGATTCCCTGCCACATGCCACGTGTGTTGTTATTCATATAATAGCTCTCCAGTTTTTGGAAGTATGCCCTCTGCAGCTCTGATGGGCTTCTGTAGTTCATACCAGCTTTCCTGTACTCCGCTTGGTCCCCTGCCTTGAAAGCTACCCGCATCTTCCTGATTTTCTGTCCACATTGAACCAGGGGTTTTGGTTGGGGAAGACATGCACAGTTCTAGGTGGGGCACGTATGGACATGCACCGCTGATGTAACTGCTCACAGTCTCTGCATATTCATGGTTATTGTCTGCAGCCCCTTTGAAGATATTCCAGTCTATGGCCTCTAGACAGCCCTGCAGGCTGGCCTGTGCACAGTCATTCCAGGTGTTAACAGTTCTCACTGTTACTGGTTTTGCCTTGAGCCATTGGTGTAAACCAGCCTGAGCTGGATTGCTAGGTGGTCAGATCTACCAAAATGAGGTTTAGGTTCTGCCGAGAAAGCGTTTCTAATGTTACTTTAACATTGGTCCAGTGTTTTGTTTCCTCTAGTGGGAAAGTCAAACTGATACAGTTTAGGCACATTTTTCCTGAGATTGCAGTGATTAAAATCTCCCAGAACAATAATAGCAGCATCAGGATATGTGTTTTCATGCTCACTGATCATGCTGTGCAACTTAGTGCAGTGCCCTCCCTGGCTGAGGGGGGGAACATATACCACACTTACAATGATGCATTGCATTTCTCTGGGCAAATAAAATGGCCTTAAAATATTCCACATCTTCAGAACAGAATTTGGAGATAATCTTACTGTCGGTGCACCTGGACTGTTTGACGAAGGCAGAAATTTCTCCTCCGTGAGTCTTGCCTTTTTCTGTGGCACTTTGGTCCTGAACTGAACACAGAGTAGCCATCCAGAGAAATCGCCTCATCAGGTGTCCCACCACTCAGCCATGTCTCACAAAAACACAGCAAGGAGCAGTCCTGTATCTCCCTTTGTGTAGAAATTCAAGCGCGGAGTTCATCCATCCATCGCTCCTAAGCCTATATGCATCAAATCAAAACAAACTGACAAAGTACTTTTCAGATCAAATGTAGTGTTATGATTTACTGGAGAAGTAGGACCCAGTGTGCAGACAAGCCAAGGGCAGGTTCAAGGTGAGTTTTAATAAATAATACAGGACAAGAGACGAAAGGGGAAAATACAAGGGCTTGACCTGACACAGTAACAAAAATACAGACTAAGGCGAACAACAGGACAGTTCAGCCAGGGAGCTATGACAAACCAACTCAAACTAACACTCAAACAAAACTGAAGAAACAAACCAGGAATCCTTAATGACCAGTAGATACAAAACTCAAAGGGAAACAGTCTGAAGGTTTCAAGAGCAGGAACAAACAAGAGACGGATACAGAGATTACAGAAAGACACAAACTGGCAGGGTGTGGTGAGCGGCTATAGCAAACAGAATGAACCAGCAAGAGGCAGAGGGAAAGGAGAAAACAGCAGCAGACCAAAGCTGATCTGTGTGGAGGGATAAGGAGACTGTTGTTGCTATGTTATGTCCCATGAACTCAGGTTTGAGTCTTGGTGACTTGTGAAGTTCCTCAAACTAATACCATGAAACAAAGATAAATTCCATATTCTTATGTGTTCCGCATTTTTTAGGGCCCCTGACTGGAAAATTCAAACCACCACTAACCACTAATATCTGCATAAGGTAGTGGACTGAACAGACAACATTCATGTTTAGCATGCTAACATTTACTAATTAGCACCAAACACAAAGCATGAAGTTGCTGAGGCTCATGTGGAACACAAATGTCTTGACCATGGTAATCTATCCAATAGTTTTTGAGATATTTCACTCAAAATCTCAAGCAACTTCAAGGTTGCATTTAAGGAAAAGTCAGGAGATCCCCAAGGTCAGTAGGATACATCATCTAGGAACCACGAATATCTGTAAATTTCCAGCAAGTCATGCAAATGTCACGAAGAGCTATTTTGCAGGACGAGTGAAATACTGGGTCACTATATGAAAAATTAGGGGATCATCTTCTGGGCACAGTAAGTATCTGTATTAAATCCCAAGTCACACCAGCCAACAGTTATTAAGAAATTTTACAAAAACAAAAGTGCTTTTTTAATGATGCTTGAGTCAGGTGAACACCAAAATCAGTAGGGTTCATTCACTGGGGACCATGAATATCTGTACAAAATCAGAAGTTAAATAAATTCAGGGAAATGAATAACTGAAGGACAAATAAATGTGGTTTCAGTGTCAGTACTGGCACTATATCAGGCCTCAACAACATGGCAAGTTAGCTTTGGATTCAGACTTGGAATGTTTGTCTTAAGAGGTGCAGTCAGATGGGAAAAAGTCAGCAAACTGAGCCAGTCAAGTTATTTACTGTACATTAAGGCTTACTTTATATTACTGGGTGTAATGTTTCCTCCCAGTCATTCTCACCTAACAGGAAGTACCAGTATTTATTATACAGTAACAGGTTGACGGTGTGATTATTTAGACAGTGGGTGAAAAGTAATACTAATGTTGTGGACTTTGAGCAATGCTCAATCAAGGTTCATCCAACACTCCGGTAAGTGTTTAGAGAAAGAAATTATTCATGTTTAATGGTAGAAATTTACACTTTACTCTGTTACCTGCAGTTTCTATTTGACATCCATTGAAGTAACACTGTTCTACCTGTTAAAATGTTTTAAAAGACTAACATATCACTTTAAAACTATGAAAATCAGGTCAAAATGAAGAATCTGGTTGGGTATTGTGGAATCATCTTCACATGTCTCTTAATATGCACAGAACAGTCTAAGGTAAAAATAAAAACTCACCTCCTTTTGAATATCTCCCTTCACAACTTTCTTTAATATAGTTCAGACAAAAACAAATTAAGTCTCCTCCAGTGTTTATCTTTAAGTTGTGTATTTTCACTAAATCAAGTCTTAACTTAAAATTGCCTCTGGTATTACTAGAAACAAGGAAAAGCAGTTTTCCCTCAAGGTATGGAGCAAATTATTATTGCTTACAGTATACTTGCAATTTAATAATGTACTTAATATGCAAGGTATAAAGAACCATATAGACTATTCATATTAAATTTTGGTCTTCCTCTTGTTTTTTTCTTGTCATGTAAACTTCATGAACAGACTGCACACAGATTAAGGCTCTTTCACCACAAGCATCCAGTGGAGTTTATGTCATACATCCTCCTGGAGCTGAGACCCCGTTCAAGGTATGAGAGATGGCATGTTATGTACAAAGCAGTTTATGCTTGTAAGAGTTTACTAAAGCCTCACATTCTTAATTACTGTTACTGTTACTTCTGTTGGAAGCTGTTTGTTTTGGCATGACAAACGTTTCAGATTTGTTATTCTGAAATGTTTAAAAAAAAAAATTTAAATCATTGTGTAACACCAGCTCCTAAAGTGGATGTGCTTGTAGTCAACATGGTTTTTTCTTTAAACACATCCAGAATATACTGCTGTTTGATATGTCACCGGCCTTAGAAAACATATTTGTGGCTTTTGTTAGAGCAGATACAACATATTTTTAATCTTCACACTTTTGGTATTATGTTTCTGATTTTGTAAAATGTTAAAATAGGCACTACCCTGCAAGCTCTTGAGAAAAATATAGGATACGCCATCTGTCAAACTGAGGTGTGAAGTAGAAGATTTATGGCCCTTGATGACATCACACTTTTAGCACATCAAACACCCCCACCCTACATTTATTATACATTTATTTTGGAAACAATGCTATGTTTATTCCTTCCAAAGAGATAATTGAGAAAAATTTGTTATTTTAATGGGGCAGTGTTGTATAGTGGGGTTGATTTAGCGCTTGTGTGTTTAGTTGTTACTAAGGAATTAAGTTAAGGAAATACAAGTGATACCCCTCTGGAGAAATGTGGAAAAATAGATAAAAAAAAAACAAGTGAAAAAAGATCATGGATTTTTTTCCCCACCTAATGAATGGTATATTGGAGCAGTGCCTGCATCCCCTGGGTATTTTCAAACCCTATAAAAGTAAAAGTCCTTTAACTTGGAGCTTTTGGCTCTGTGCGGACAACATGTTACCAGTTGTGGAAGTGGTGATTAAGAAGCCAGATACAAGTGCAAAAGGTACCATGCCCCTGGATGTGTTCCTGCCTTATAGGCCTCTGAATTTGAATTCTGAACCAGGGAACTATTGCTGTCTGAATGAACCGCCTGTGAAATGCTACAGCCTGGGGGAAAGAGACTGTAGGGTTGCTGCTACACAAGCCCATGGAGAAGTGGGTAGAGGGTGGGTAGAGATCACTGGTGGTTTTGTGAGATATATTTTACCTGGAGCCCCCACCATGGTGGTCTTTAATTAACATTGCATGAGGAGGGGGGTAGAAGAAAACATACAATGGAAAAATGGTACTATGAGCCATGCTATTATCATGCATAAGGACGGGTTGGTTCACCAGACAAACATCTGGGGACTATTGCCAGTTGTAGGATCACTGTGAGGTGTTTGTGGGTACCACTTGTAACGAAAGGGAATTGGGGAGAGATTGCTGCTCTACATTATTTGATTTACAGAAATGAACCCTTACATCTACCAATCTTTAGAGAGTTACACATATCAAAAATTGTTGACTAAATATTCCAAAATCTTATTTATGGGGAGAAACACCTGCTTTTATTCCAAATTTTAAATTTATTTGGTTTTAATCCTTACCTCTTAACAAAACTATTAGGCTGAACTTCCTTAAAATTAAACTATGATGGGGGAGACACGTGCCTTTCCCAAAATTCAAATTATTCAACAACACTTCCTCAAAAAGCCAGAGTATACTGGTTCCTAAAACCTCTCAGTAGAGTAACATCTGAAGGTATAAGGAGGTAGCTGCCTATAACTGAAGCTGTTTCCAAACAGTAACAACCTGCAAACAGCTGCTTTTCCATAGAAGTACTAGAACATACACACACCCTATTTTTTGAGCTTTAAGTCACGTCTTAAGATGATAATTCACAATTGTAACATTGTAGGTAAGACAAAAAAAAAAAAAAAGGAAAAGCATACCAGGGGCTCTTTGACATGTCTCAGTAATTTAAAAAATTGTTTAATAGCCTGGCAGCTGGTTTTAACATGTCTACTGGACTCTCTACCCAGGTGCACTGTGAGATGCAGAAAGATGAAGGCTGGACAGTGTTTCAGAGGCGCAGTGGAGAAGCAGTTCGTTTTGACAGGAACTGGGATGAATATAAAAATGGATTTGGCTCCCTCAAGGGTTAGTAAAGTATTACATTGCAGTATTAATTGCTGTGTGTATCATTTGTAATTATTATAAAGCCAGAGAAAGTCTAAAACTGTTTGCACTGGGCTAAACTCAACACACAAAACCCCAAAATGAATTTAAATATCCCATGGCATCAGTAGTTATTTTTAAGCCTGAGGGGGTTGTTTTATTAGGCTAAATCCAATGTCTGGTGACTGTGACACACCTTAATAAACCCACAGTGAAAATAAATATAAAGGAGTTTGTTTCATACAAAAGCACATACAGAATCTACAGGATTAGGGATTCAGTGAACCTTTACAGTAACAGACTATTTTTTGTAGTGACACTAGCAGGAAAAAAACCCTCTTACCACCTGCTCTCCTGCAGGATGTTAATGAACAAATCTAGGGTAACATAGCGCAGCTTTCTGCAATGTGATATGTACATTTTCTACCACACTGAAATGTATGTGAATCACACTGTTGTGTCAGCTATGCCTGCAGGAAAGTACTGTGTAATCAACAGCTACTTCATTTCCTATACCACAAACTGAATGTTTGAAATTTCCCCAGACCCTAAAGTCTTGCCTGATTTACATGCACAGGTAACATTAAAAACATAAAATACTGCAGCAATGAAAGCTGTTATTTTAAAGGATTAAACTCTTTGCCATGAAGCCACACAAACCTAATTCTTCCTATGGATTTGAAAGGTGGTTTAAATGAACACATCCTCCAAGCAGTTTTATGTACTGAAGAAAGGATTTGTTTGTTTCTGTTAAGTTGTACAAAGACACATCAGATCGATGTAAATAATTTCTTTATGTTATGCTGATTCTCTCAGAGGACCACTGGCTTGGACTGAAGAAGGTTTTCTCTCTAACCAAGAACAAGGCCAAGGAGTGGATCTTGAGGATCGATCTGTGGGACTATGAAGGTGGCACTGCATTTGCCGAGTACAGAAATTTTAGAATAGACAACGAAGAAAAGGCTTTCAAACTGCACGTCGGGAACTACAGTGGAAATGCAGGTACTTTATGATTTTTACTGGCTTTTTTCTTCGCTTTTTATATAGACAAAAATCATTCCATTTGTTAGAATTTTTAATTGCTGAAACTTTTTGCTTTACCCGAGTGCTCTTCTCACTGCTAACTGTACTTTGTCTTGTTGTTACATATTAAAAGGTGACTTTTTCAGACCACAGTAATACTGATAGCGCGCAAAAACTACAACAGTTCCTGTTTTGTGTTGTAAAGCAATCTAGTAGCTCTAAATCCAACCCTAAAGTTGGAGAGCAGTTACACACTGAGTTTGTAATGCATCAAGATTAATGATGTCCTCATTTACACATGGCAGGCTATGCATGGATGCTTTTAAAGTGAGACTATGCCACCTTTGAAAAAAATGGCTGACACGATTAAATATGGCAAAGCATATTTCTCCTCTGTCAAAAAAAAAGCTGGATTCATAAGCAATTAAACACACCTGCTTTGCTCAATTGAGTTCAGTCAGGGGTTTGACTACTACTGTCTGGTGGCTAATGATAATCCAGACAGACTTGTATAACTGATATCACTAAGTAATTACTTTTACTGAGTATCACTTCTGTGTACTTGTGCTTTACCTACCAGCCACAGCTAAATGGTTAATTAATCAGAATTCATATTTTGGAGGGTTAATTCCAATGAATTAATCAGAATTAAGCACCATCCAGTCATATTGGCTTTGTAACAAGATGGAAGTAGGTGTCAGTGCATTGCATGGCCCATTGAATGGAACATTGACCTTTAAAAAACACTCAGATGGAACTATTGATAGTCATGTCTTTCTCTGCAATTTCTCCTGTAACGAATTTTTGTACCTTGAGGTCTGAGCTAGCGTTGCCCAAACTGTTAGCAGCCTGCCTCGTCATGGCCCTAAGATGTATCTGGTTTCATCTGACCAGCTGAATAAACTGCATGTTAAGAATACAGTCTTTGATAAAGATGAAGATGGGCTGGATGCTGAAGTGAGACATACATTATATTGGATCAGAAAGGGATGCTTCCTGATGAAAAAATACTATATGCTTTTACAACATTACTTGAGCCTGCAGAAACAAAAAGAATTTAGACTGCTACTCCCAAAAGAGCCTAAAGATGCTACGCCCCCTGCAGGCACCTATGCTGTTGTCCCTGCAGGTGACCCTGGGAATGACAGGGGAACCGCTGCTGGACTGCTCCTTGCAGGCATCCCTGCTGGAGCCCTAAAGAATATTATGCATCAAGTTTTGAAGAACATTCACCCTTGTTATAAGAGGAAAGCTGAATATATTTTGCAAGCGTTACAGAGATCGGACTGTGCTTGAAACAACTGTGGGGAGTTTTTTCATATGGATCAACCTATTCCTGGCTCACACATTTATGATTTAATTCTACACTGTGGCTAATATTAAATTCACCTACAGACCACTAGGATGGGACATATTTATGCAAACACCATGTGACCTGAACAATCCAAATGGTGTGATATCTAACCGTGATGCTAAAAAGACTACTGAATGCCTCAAACCTGGAAACATGGAGTATGAACTGAGATACAGGACACCCAAGAGAAAAAAAAACCTACTGTAGACGTTTTGCACCCCAATCTGACCAAGCATACTGTATGCTGAAGCAACATCTGTATATGAGTCTTCAACAGGTCCTGTGGAGACCTCCGAAGTGAAGAAAAGAGCTAGAAGAAAACTGTCTCCTAAGTGGTTACAATATAAATGAATTTACAATATAAATGAAAGTTTCTGGAGAATTTCATAAATAATTTATTTGAAAATCATCATCTCTTTGTGTGTTTTTTTTTTTTTTTTTTAAAAACAAAACATTTCCATGGCAAAGGGGAACCCTTAAAAAACCATTTTAAAAAAACGGCAA